AATACAAACTTTTGGGAAATTTAGAAAATTGGGTGGATAGTGATTCTTTACAATTTTGATATATGTGGATGCCCCTGTGGATGTATCATAAGCACTAGAAAATTTAGCCCTTAAAACACTTCTGCTTTCGAGAAAAATTGAATATAAAATTTACTGGTGCTCCCGGTAAATTTTGATAAATTTCAAATATCGCCTACGGCCGTACAATGATAGCTGCGACCATGAAAATGTCAGAATATGTAGTTGTGATATGTAATTTCCAAACGGGATTAGCTTATCGGTCGATATTAGTCAAGATATATTGTTTTATAGCTTCATTAATATCTTGACCTTGAGAGGGAGCTATACAACATAAAGAGTATATAATTGGCTTACTTGACCTTAAGCCGTCCACACCATCACTAGGATGTATGATGGCTTCTGTTTCACTATGGCTTGCCACACCTTCCTGTCTTCTGTTAGCCTAGTGGCTTTAGTCAGGGAGTCAACTTGTCTGTTTTTGCAGTCCGCCTTGATGCAGTCTGTCCATCTCTTAGCTGGTCTTCCCCTTGGGCGTTTGCCATGTAAATTTCCGTTGAGAAGGATGTGGGGGTATCTTTTTGAATTCATTCGGTTGATATGTCCAAAGTATCTCAGTCTTTTTGTGGCAACCCTGTCGATGGTGGTTTCTTCCATATTCAGTTGTTTTCGTATGTGTGTGTTCCTTAGCCTGTCAAGTCTGGTCACACCCATGATTCTCCTGAGGCATGTCATCTCAAAAGTGTGAAGTCTATTTTCATCGACCTTCTTTAATGTCCATGTTTCTGCACCATATAACAGAATAGACAACACCAGGACTTTGTACAGTTCTACCTTTGTTGAGCAGCGTATATCTTTTGATGCCCAGATTTTCTCGAGTGCTTGGAATGCTCCTATTGCCTTCCCAATGCGGTGCTTTACCTCTTCCGAGCAGGATCCTGTCTGGCTTATTGTTCCTCCCAGGTACGTGAACTCACCTACTTGTTTTAGCTGTTCTCCTCCAACGTTTATATTCGATAGTTGAGGCTGTTTGCTTATGGCTTGTACTTCTGTTTTGGTAAATGTTTATTTTCAGTCTAAAGTTTGAGCTGCTCTGATGTATTAGGTCAACTATTGTTTGGAGGTCTCCGTAATTGTCAGCTATAAGGACTATGTCATCAGCAAATCTTAGGTTATTGTTCAGCTGTCCCTGTACTCTTACACCGATCTTGGTGTCATGTGATGCGTAAAGCATCACAGCTTCGAGTAAGATGTTAAAAAGTTGTGGGGACAGGGCACATCCTTGGCGTACCCCAACTGTGGTTTTAAATCAGTCGGTCAGTTCACCATTCACTCTGACTGCACTGTTTGATTATTGGTAGAGTGCTTGAAGTAGGTGTATGTATTTTGATGAATATCCAAAGAAGATCATTGCTTTCCACAGCCCTTCCTGCCAGACTGAGTCAAATGCCTTTTCGTAATCGATGAAGCAGCATAGGAGACTTTGATTTCTTTCAAGGCGCTTTTCCATTAATTGTCTGAGGGTGAACAATAATTGATCCATAGTGGAACGTCCTGGTCGGAATCCAGCATGTGCTTCGGACAGCACTTCTTCTGTTTTCTTCATGATCCTTTGCTGGAGGATGACACTGAACACTTTCCCTGCATATAGCTTAGCAGGCTAATACCCCTGTAGTTTCCACAGTTGAGTTTGTCTTTTTTCTTGTAGATTGGTGTTATTATCGCTTTTCCCCAGTCAGCCGGAAATATTTCTTCCAGCCATATTTTGTTGCACAATTTGTGGAGTATGGTGATTCCTGTTGACCCAGCAGCTTTGAGTTCCTCTCGTGTGATACTGTCAAATCCTTGTTTACTATTTCATAACTTCAGACTCCATTTCAACCATGACAACGATCACTGAATATTGTAGGATCGCATATGGTTCCAATATGTTCATTTGAACCAAATTCATGACCCCATACCAAAACTTTGTATTAACTTTAAGGGTTTTTCTGGAATGATTTCTTTATCTCCATTAATATGTCAAATGATCCTTTACAATTTTCTATTTCTAATTCGTCGATCTAATCAAGTGAACGCAATCTGTCCTTACGGCGGGTAAAACTTTCATGGGTCAGGGTACGTGCTTTGGGAGATGAAAGTTTTGTATATTTAGTACGACTAGGACTCTAGCAAAGAAGGGAAGTAATCCGTGATATCTATGATCTGTAGGGCGGGTAGGACGAGTGAAGACAGAGAAAATGCGGGTGAAACAAATGAAGCCTTGATGAGCAAAGTTTGTCAGCTGGCAAAAAAGGTTGGTGTCAACATTACCCCCAGACGCAGTTCTGCTTGCTATTAGGTTGGGAAGGGGGAGCTCATTGCCTCTCATGGTCTCATTATCATTTCGTCTACCTATTATTTGGTGTAATGACTAATTAGGCTAACAGTCATTTAATCACAAATAGTAATAATCTTCAAATGATTATTAGACCTTATGGATAGTAGACGAAATGGGCATTAGATAAATTGGGAATTAGACCGTCTGGCAATTACACCTAACGAGTGATACACCAAAGAGGTATTATACACGTTGGAGAATAGACCAAATGGGAAAAATTGTGCTCCTCCTCTGTGTATGCCAAATTTTTTTTTTTACTCTGACAACATGCTTTAATTTTGTTTCATTATCAGTATAATTTAAAGGACAATTTGTGTTTCAACTGCACATTAAGTCATTATAACAAAGATTTGACTCAGAGGATTCGCACAAAAGTAAGGACAACGGTGATTTTAGTGGGTTGTATCAACTGAACTTAATGAAATCGCGATGACACTTGCTATATTGAGTTCATAATAGAGTACATACAGGATATTGCACTAAATTTAAATTTGCATGTGAATGATAGACTGCACTGGTGACAATTATGACAATGCAGATGTTTTGGAAGTAAAGAATGGGCTTTCATGTGGTCTACATTGTTGTCTTCTTTGGATTGGTAGTAGCTATTTGCATTAAGTCAGATGGCTGTCTGATCACAAGGGATTCCGTTTTGAACACAATGGCCCGAATTCACAAAGAAGGTACTTTGTCGACAAACCGAGGTTTATGTGCGTCATACGACGCGTTTCGACGCGTTTTTACAAACCTTGGTTTGTAAAAAACAAAAGGAGGTTTGTCGAAACAAAGGGAGGTTTGAGGACAAACCTGGGTTTGTCGACAAACCTCCTTTGTGAATTCAGGCCAAATCGTTCACTCACCCATAGAGGATATCTTAAAACCCGAATCCCTTATTACAGTAACTCTGCGGCTTTTTTAACAACATTGCTACGTGTGACGTCCGTTTAAGGCACTGTGAGTTCCTTTTAAGGCAAAAGACGCCACACGTAGCAGTCCTCTATGTCGACGTGCAAATAAGTCCCTATTATATGTTGTGGTGAGGTGAAATATAATCCAGGACTCAAGGTCCCAGTAAAAGCAAACAATGTGGGACCAAGAAAGTTAATACTAGCGGGTTTTCGCTCAGCAACAAACAGACCTTCTACGACGCAGAGCACTCGGGTTTACGTCCGTCGCACACGAACCGCCCTCGATACAATACGCGGTTTCGCTTTTCGGTGAATGCGTACGTATAGTACGGAGGTATTGCATTTGCAATGCCATTATCAACGCGCAGGGGCGGGGGGGGGGGGGGGGCAGTGAGCACTAATCTTCTTTTTTTCATTTGGAAAAGTGCCAACCAATATTTCGGGGGGGGGGGGGGGAAGAGAGCACCTTGGCCACCTATGGATATAAAATGAATTGTTTTAAAACTTGATGATAAATTGTTGAAATTTGATACAAAGCCGTTTTGTGGCTTGGTCGAGACAAGTTGTGCTAGTCGTGTAGTCCCGTCTGTACTGTATTGCGTGGCAGGGAATAGGTCATTTTCGTAATGTAATCAAATTTAATACATATAAGTCTTTGTGAAATTCCTCAATACAAATTATTTCATTCACCTGTGTAGGATTCGCAATAGTCAGAATGCAAACTGTATCTATTAAGTGTGGCAACAACTAATGTATGAAGATTGGATTCTTATTATCATCATGTGAATGAAATAGTTTGTATCGAGGCACTTGATTCAATTGGGGCGTCATTGAGAACGCCCGTAAATTGGGCCAAAACCCGTTCTGGATTTCAGAAGATTGGATTCTTATTATCATCATGTGAATGAAATAGTTTGTATCGAGGCACTTGATTCAATTGGGGCGTCATTGAGAACGCCCGTAAATTGGGCCAAAACCCGTTCTGGATTTCAGTACCTCAGAGGTCACCCTGCTGTAACTATAGTAGCTTCTCGATTTTGCACACGAACCGCAGATTCTCCGCTGTCCGCAATGAGTTTGCGAAAATACCTATTCTCACGGTTAACGGTTAACGACAATAATTCTTATTGTTCAATGTCTTTACAATGCTTCTTCATTAAACAACATTTTTCAAATGCTAGCCGGCCTGGGAGAAGTTTCAATTGTTGTAAAGAAATGTCTAGACTGCACCCAGTAGATCACGCTGGTTCAAAGACTTTTTTCTGACTTCTTTTCAATTACAAGATCGAGCACGTACTATGCGATTTAGTGGGTGCAAACCAATATTTCTTTACATCAATGTGATACAATTTAATGTAGCGTCAAATGGCAATCGACTGGCACATGAATTCATTAGTACTAGATGTAATCCTTTTAGCTCAAATTTAGCAACAATCGTTCGCCATTGCTACGCTCATTCTTTCATAAATCATAATAATTTTGTTCTACAGTTGATTCCACTGATAGGATGATTTAGCAAAGACGCGCTCATCCCGTGCAGGGCTCTAGTTTCCAGTGGGACGTGTTCATAAATTATGCTCAATGTTAACGAGGATGCATCATTATTCGTATTTGTTCAACAAATGTCAAATATTGTGAAGACAAGTGCGTGTGTGTTTGTGCGTGCGTGTGTGTGTGTGAGAGAGAGAGAGAGAGAGAGAGAGAGAGAGAGAGAGAGAGAGAGGATAAGTTAAGGCTAGCTAGCGCGTCAATCCACTTGCCCCTTGCCCACACCTGGATGACGTGGCTTCAGACGCCCGAGCTCTCGGCCGGAACAAACCCGCAAAACTTTCACACACACGCATCAAATCTAAACACTAACACAAATGTCATGTACCACGCACCTTGTATCCTTTTAATCAAGCTCCACGTACTCATCCGACACCAAAACAACCTGGCCAACTAGCTGCGATATACTCATATTATCGTCAAAATGGCTGATGAAAAGGAAACATCATTGATTTCGCGTAATGTGAAATATCAGAAAGTGGAAGGAGCGGAAAGCCGCAGACTTGCGGAGGTGAGAACTATATGATTCCTTTAAATTAGATTGTTCTGCTCTTTTTAGTTTGCAGTCACGCAAGCACTTGTCGCCGGCCCCTCATGTTCGTGCGCGGCGCGCCACTACTACTAACAAGGAGATACTACTTGCTACTATTACTACTTCTACTATTATCACTACTACTACTACTACTACTACTACTACTACTACTACTACTACTACTACTACTACTACTACTACTATTACTACTTCTACTATTATCACTATTACTACTACTTCTATTACTACTACTACTGCTGCTACTACTACTAATACTACTACAACTGCTACTACTATTATCACCACTAATACTATGTACACTCTCTTACTAAGACGATTCCAGTCATTCATGATTTCGAATGAGAGCCGGATAGACTGGGGCGTGTTGGGGGCTTGGTCATTACAGCTCACGGTTTCCGCTTGGCTCTGGCGTATTTGTTACTCCTATAGGGCTCAAACAAAGTGGGGGGGGGGGGGCGAACCTTTGCTCACCCTGGGCCTTCTTATGGAATTCTCTCCCTCAATGGATTAAAAATAGCAGTTCTGCTGAAGTGTTAAAAAATAATCTTAAGAAATATATGTTTAATTGAGCTTATAATCGAGTACCATTACCTTTATGTCTGTAGCTTTCTTATTGCACTTTTGAATATATTTATCATGTATTTAACCTTTTGCACAAGCTGCGCCTTGAGCATTTGATTGGCAAGTGGATTTGGCGCCTTGTACATATTACGTATTATTATTACTACTGAAAGAGCAGAGTCTCAAAGCGAAAGTTTTTGTTGGAAAACCCAAATCATGAAAATGAAAATGGTTTATTGAGACTCACGAAGCATCTTGTGAAGGGTACCTGCATAATGAGCTGATGTAAACCTATTTACGCAGTTGAATCTACTTGTGTGCAACAGATCTTTACATCATACAGAGTAGAACACAAACTGGCCTCTACTCCTCCTTCTTCTTTTTCTTTCTCCTCCTTCATTTTTTTCATCTTTTTCTTCCTCTTATTTTTGCTGTCATTCCTCCTCCCCCCTCCCCTCCGCATGTTCTACTGCTCCTTCGTCATCATTTCACAATCTTTATAGGCTACTGTATATTCAGGGCTTTATCTGATCACAAATATTAGACATAGGAAATATAGAGTAGGTTGGATGCAGTGAAACATGTAGCAAGTTCTCCGTATCATCATTATATGGATGCAAATGCCTTTCATGTACAGACAAGGATTAACTTTATTTGATGACATATAAAGAGTATAACTTGAACTTGCACTATCCATAATAATAATAATAATAATAATAATAATAATAATAATAATAATGATAATAATAATAATAATAATAATAATAATAATAATAATAATAATAATAATAATAATAATAATAATAATAATAATAATAGATCTAATAATAATAATAATAATAATAATAATAATAATAATAATAATAATAATAATAATAATAATAATAATAATAATAATAATAAAAACGTTACTTATTAGGCGCTTACCACCGAAGTAAGCGCTATATCAATTGATTAGTAGGAATATAACAATTACACATTCTACGCAACAAAAGCAACGGACACTAAGCTAAGAAATCGCTCATGTGAATGGAATTGCTTAAATTTATTAAGAAGTTGTTGCTAGACTCTTGTTTAAATTGATTTGATTTATAAAGAAACAAAAGCTAGATTACTAAACAATTGTCATCATCTAACACCAAATCCTCACCAATTATTATTGCTTGGCACGGCTAGGAACATCAAGTTGTATGCAATCTATGTTTTGACAGCATTCGAAATCATAGCATATGTAAATAACTTGTAGTTCATAACGTTATAACATCAGAAGATATCCTAGATTAAATCATACATGACATGGCTTACATGAGAAGAAGAAAGAAAATAAAACGTAAATGTGCCGGCGCACTTCGAAACATAATTATTTTCTATGAAAGTTGAATCGTATAGTGTGGTGAATTATAATGACCCCAGGGTGACTGAGAGAAACAATAGTGTTCCAACGTAGGTGGTAGGTTAAGGTCTAGGATATGTTAAGACTATGAAGAATACTCTGATTACCGTAAACTTATGAATACAAGAAATGGAAAACGTCCACCTCGACCTTTCCCAAACTCTTTTCCTATTCACCAAGCCCTTAATCCCGGTGTCCTTCTTGTTTTTATCTTTGCTTTATAAAATCCCAAGCTAGCTCTGCCCTCGAAGAGAGAGGAATACTCACACGACAGAGAAAGTTAGAACAAATTAAAGAAAAAGTGCATGCTATTCAATCCCAATTCACGAGAAGTCTTGCGCGATAAACAAAGAAATAAGCTCTGTTAAAATGATAAAATGATTATTTAAAATAAAGAAGCAAAAAGACCCTGATCAGCATTGCTCTTCTACTTCCCTCTTCGGACCAAACTGTCATGTCACATACATGTAAAAACATATTTATACATTAATGTGTGCTGTTCATGTGACCTTCAGTAATTTGAGTAAGTTTCTGCCTGACTGTCATATTACAAAGCATATCAGGACCTCCAAAACATTTTGCCAGCAAAATTTCTGAATTTGAAGCTTAAAGTCCATTCTCCTTTATTCCTAATGGATTAAAATTGAAATGTACACGATTTCATGAGGTTTCTCGAAGACACAGCTTAACGGTGTTTGAATCAAATTAAATAAGCCTGAAATCTGTAGCGTATTACGCGAAACAACAACAATAATAATTGTGCAAAACTCGCAATGAAAATACACTAGAAAGAAAAAAATGTTTGTACAGGCGCGTGGATGGGGACACGCAAAGGTAGAAAATGGTTCTAAATCATGTCAATGTACTCTTGCAATAGACATTATTTATCATTTATTGTTTACGTCAGCCGTTAGAAAGCTAGGTACATGTACTATGCATTACTGCAACGGATTACTCTGATATTTTCTTTCTCAGCGTTGCAAACGTATTCTATAAAGCCTTTCTTTGGAACTGCTCAACCTAGAAGTGAAGCCTCCCCCAGCCCTCCATGGCCTCCCAGCATTGAATGATGAAAGAAACTGTCTAGAGGCATTTGGAAGAGGGCAGGCGCGGATCTACGGGGGGGGTTTAGGGGGTTTAAACCCCCCCTTGGGCGGCCCAAAAAAAAAAAAAAAAAAAAAAAGGAAAAAAAAAAAAAAAAAAAAAAAAAAAGAAAGAAAAAAGAACGCACGCTGGAGAGAAACCCTTTCAAGTGCAAATATTGTGAGAAGATATTCAACTCATCTGGTAACTTAACCAAACACATGATAACTCTGGATATAACTGTGTATTTACTGTTACTTGATTTAAAAAGACGTTATCATGCACTGCTTTTTATGGTCTCCATTGTGTTAATAGATGCCAGGAAAACATCACTTACGGAGTTCAAATAAACACCCCAAAAAAAATCGGATCGCCGCTTCGCGGCTCGTGGACGATGCTCTGCATCGTCATTATTTTGGTCAAACCCCCCCCCCCCTTAGCAAAAAGCTAGATCCGCCCCTGGAGGGTCATTGTGTAATACAGAGGAATTTATTTAAAAAATGCAATAAAATTATCAACGATTCATTGCATTTTGCCCCGACCTCATAACATACAAAAATCCTCTATGTGGCCATGCCTTAAACCGCAATGCATGGTCCTACAGAGGAATTTTTCTGTTGGGGACCGGGGAAAATGCAATGATTTTTTGTTAATTTATTGCCTTTTCTTTGTTTTTTGTATTTGTGGGGGTGGCGACGTATCCTAGCCCCCACCGGGTACAGTCATGGTTCAGTGGCTAAGAAATTGCCTCGTTTACTGTGAGGCCCCAGAAGAAAAACCGTGTCGATGTGCTATATTAGTGCCCTTTTGTGAGGCATTAATTCTCATTATTGTCAGTTATGACTTAAGGTCCCCTAGTTGATTAGCATAGTAGCACACACATGATTTAGCAGTCACGCAAATAAAACCCTCGCAAATTATTATTCAATAAAATCTGAGAATGTATACTATTATTTAGATCTATTAGGAATAAATCATTGTCAAAATCATTCCATAAATTAGGATTCCACCTTTATGACCAACAGTGTATATAGGTCTACATGCTACATGCGCATGTGACCCCCTCCCCCCCCCCCCCCCCCAGTAAAACAGTTCGGTGCAAACTTTTCAGCTAGGCCCAGTTCTTGTCATGATTCGAATATGAAGGCACTTGAAGAGCAACTATTTTCAGGGGACATCTCTGTTATGAAATTCTTCTTTATCAATGAGTCTTAACTGGCCTAAAAACAAAAAGAAAGCTCGCAAACTTTGTTTAAAATCAATGTTCATGACAAGCTCAGCATTTTGAAGAGCTAGATGCACGGTTCAATGTAGGGGATTCATATCATGTCTACGAAAAAGATTACTCGTTCAGGGTGTTAAACAATTAAATGGAAAAATCAAAAAAAGATAAAACAAAATATTGTTAAATATTAATCTAAATGACTGCTTTTCAGTCAAAACAACGCTGCCATATGAGCAGCTCTTTCTCTTCATTTTTTTTGTAAACGTTATCATCTCAAAGTCTAATTCGTAAAGGCGATGAGATATTGATAGTCTAATCTTTGTTTACATACGCAGTGGTGAATCCTGGTTCCATGTATGGGGAGGGAGGATTGTACTCACTTGTGGGGGTGGGGGGGGGGGGGGGTAATTAGCGAAAAAAACGATGTCGTGAAATGTTGGGAGAGTGGAAGGGAACGCATCGTTTTTCTTCTTCACGTTCCTGTCCCCTCTTCCATGCTTTTAACCCATTTCTGTATTTCTCTTTTACTGCCATACGACAGTATACGAGGGGCACATGCCATCCCGCACCATTTAAACTTGGCCCTTAAAATGTGATATGACAATAGGTACATTTACAAACACTTGTATAAAGACAATTACCCCCTCGATAATTGTCCTTGAGTAATTATCAGCTCATTCATGTGCATTTAATGGT